CGCACTCAACGAATCTGCCTTTTCCCTGCAAAAAGACAAGCACTCTCCTTCATGTTGTTACAAAAAAGAGAATGATATTTCAGACAAACAAGAGTCATCTCCACGTGATAGCCAGTACAAAGCACATTGTCACCGACTTGGACCTTTTTCAACTCGGTCACAGTTTGTCAAGTTTAACAAAATATATATTCCAACTTTAACCGAAAGACGCTAACTTTACACCAATAGAGTAGATTTCTTTGTTAATTCCATGTTTGTGATTTCTTTTAGTTTTAGCTCTTAGTTTAGTTTATAGAAGAAGAAACAACAAATATTAGATGAGAGAGAGATAGATAGCGTGGGGCGAATAAGCAAGCAAAGTAAATGTCTAAGAGAATGGAAGAAGCAAAATTGGCAAAGTAAAATAAGAAATGAAATGCAAAGTGGAAAACTTTACCCTGGCGGAGGAAATGGACATGTAATCCGGTGATTGGTTCTCCGGCGTGTAGATGCCGCCGCCACCACCACCTCCGGATGAGGATGAGCCACCACCACCGGAGGAAGTGGTGTTTTTGTTGCCGCCACCACTACCACCTCCGGAGGAGGAGGAAGAGGTCTTGATCCCAAGGGAGTAAACCGGAGTTCCGTCCGGGTGGAAGAGACCGTAATTCCTCTCGGAGGTGGGGCCAGGCTTCATGTTCTCGTTGAAGAGAGCGAAGACGAAGATGGTGAGATCGCAGTCGGGTCGAATGGGGGTCCTCATCTTCTTGCTCATCATCATCTTGATGAGATTCCCATTGTACTTGCGGGCATTGTCGCAGTTGGCTCCCACCTCCTGCGGGTCGCCGTTGGAGGGCCATCCGGTCTCGGAGACGACGATGGGGACTTTCTTGTAGCTGATGCCGACGGCGTCGAGGGCGTGGTAGACGGCGTCGACCTGGGCGAAGAGCATGTTGTCGTAGTGGAAGTTGGAGGCAGGATCGGTGAAGCCCTGGTTTGGCTGGAAGAGGACGAAGTCGAGAGAGACGTGTTTGGGGTTGCCCTCGTAGGCGAAGAAAGGGTAGGCGTTGATGAGGATGGGGGAGCCAGTCTTGACGTGGAAGTCCAAGATCGGAGTGAGAGAGGCGAGGAGGTCACGGCGGAAGGAGGTGGCGGAGGGAGGGTAGGAGACGTCGAGGATGGCCAGGGAGTGCGCAGTGGTCACGAAGATCTGCTTGTTGAGGCCACAGTCGACAAGAGCGGAGTGGATGCTCTGCATCGCCGGGAAGAGGGCGGCCGTGAGGGCAGACTGGTTGGAGGTGAGGACTTCGTTGCCGACCACGATGGCCACGATCTTGGTGCCGGGGAGGTAGGCCTGGACGTTCTGCTTGACCCAGTCACGGGCTCTGTCGGAGTCTTTCATCTGGGCCAGGTACTCGTTGCCGAGGGAGATGGTGAGGTCGAAGCCGGAGCCGGAAAAGGCACGGAGGGCTTGTGGATCGGCGTCATAGAGCTTGACTTTGGTGGCGCCCACGGATTTGAGGAGAGGGATGACGTTCTTCGGGGGAGGAAGGTTGTTGGCGACCTGGCCGTAGTTGATGCCAATG